TCCTATTGTATTCAGCCTGCACCAAAATTCCACCTGACTTCCTTCTGCAGCACTTCTACAATATAGTCCTTTTTTTACATCCGCACTTGCCCATACTCAAGTCATATCTTACCTCTCTGCATGGAAAGATGCTTTCCCCTTTCTTATTGGGCAACCATGATTTCGCTCCATTCTGCGATGTCTGTGATGAAACTAAAGTCAACTGGCAAAATTGGGCTGTGCTATTATTCATTTGGTTTCCTTTCATTTGTTGAACACTGGTTGTGTGTAGAGTGCTGTGCAGAAGAAAAGGGACCGACCCTCAAGTTGTTACACTCCTGCATCACCATAAAAATGGCCTATAAAGTTAAATGAGTTAGAACTCCAACAGTGGTACTTATCTGTTGTGCCTCTGAGGCCCAGAATTACCACTCACAATTTACATTCCTTTGCACCTTCCCTGGGCTGGGAGAACTCCTGGTATAATTTAGACTTCCCTGTTTAGGTTACAGCAGCCTTCCTGCACCTTGGTGAACTGCAGCACTGCTCAGACTCTCATTACTGCCAGCTACCGGCATTCAACACGCATGACCCAGACTTCGACATTCCATGAGCATGGATGAAAAGTCATGAGATCTTACTAAAAATAATGCATTGGGATATTTTTATATGCCTTCTGGTTTCTGAAGTCTGTAAGCCATGCTCCATTCAGGTTTTCAAGTTTTTCTGAACAACTGAGAGGGCTAGAAACTTTCATTTAAAAAAAACAAACAAACAAAGATTCTCCTGCAATCTTTATTCCACCAGCTGGGGATTTAAGAAATACACCTATAGATGGGTGAATTGTCTTTTTTCTTTTTTTGTGAGAGCTAGCAACCCAGTGTCCACAGTTCTGCATGCTACAGTCCCACCCAACACATTCTTCCTTCCACCATTCCTGCCCTCAGCATGTCTTCTATGCCAAGGTTTGAAAGTGGTCCTCAGAAGGAACGCGGTTCTGGCTCTTTTAAGGGGACAGAGCAGGAGTAAGAATCTCTCTCTCCGAAGCCACAAGAAGTGCAGAACCCAGGCCTGATTCTCAGCACTCATAGTTGGACCCCACTCAAAAATGGCCATGAGTTTTAAAATAATTCTTGACAACAAAACGATGGTGGATTTTAAAGGAACATTTAGGTGTTGGAGAAAATTCACTCAAAAATGGCCATGAGTTTTAAAACAATTCTTGACAACAAAACAATGGTGGATTTTAAAGGAACATTTCGGTGTTGGAGAAAATACCCATCACATTCTAACAATATTAAGAAACAGTAAAACAATCTGAGGGACTCGCAGCTGCTAAGATCTTCCTTTTCTCTCCCTCTAGGCTCTGTCCTTGCCTTATTTAAATCCTGCCACTGCTTTCCTACTTTCCAATGCTTCAGATTTATGGATCCTATGCTTTCCTTCAAAACCCTGCATAATTCTGCCTCTCACTGCTCCTCTGTACTTACCTCTTTTTACGTTATCCCTTGCTTTGCCAGAGACATGCTCTTTATCTGCTTCTTTTATAGCCACTTCTGTGCTTTACACGGCTTCCCAAAGTAAGAAATGCCTATCCCCTGAGTTGGCCTCTAGGACACTACTCTTTCTTCCTTCAACTCCCTTTTCCACCATGCCACCTGCAAGAAGTTAGTTGACTAATTATGGCCAGGTTGAAAATTAATTGGAGACTGTTTGCTATATTTTTAAAATATTTGCTCAAGTACCGTATTATCAAGATGTGGCCAATCACTACCTTAAGCTTGATTTGTATGTTGTCCCCATGGTCCTCTATCATTCAGCTGGCCACCTTTGTTTTTAAGACAAATTCTTTGGGAAAGGGACCAGGCTTTCTGTTATCTGCGGGGGAGGAGAGGACTAGTACTTTGTTGTCATTACCAGAATATATTTATAATAATAAAAGCTTGTCTGCGTTCCTTTAAAGTATGATTTTGTTTTGCAAAGTGACTCTTCAAAAATGGCATTGGCAGTGCTCTGTTTATTGTCTCTTGATTCATTCAATGACAAACAAAAGTGCTCTGTTTATTGTCTCTTGATTCATTTAATAACAAACAAAATAATAAATGAGTAAATCAGTAGCGGGGTAGTGTAGATATACCCTGAGTAAATCACTCTGTGTCCTAACTTGCAACTCTGCAAACTCAGCAGCCTAGGATCAGAGAGCCGGGTTGGATTTTTTCCTGGCTTGCACCTCATTGAAAGTGAAGATTCAGCAGTTGGAACTTAGCTAACAAAACACTGGCCCCTACTGCTGGAACTCAGCAGAAGAGAAGAAAAACCATCTCTCTGTCTCTGTCTCTCTCTCATCACCTGCTAGGCCCTACAGGCTCTGCAATCTATCGGCTAAAAGTAGAAAATCTTTTTCATTACAACCAGTAGGTAGGACTCTGAGGCTATGTCTAGATTGAAAGCCTCTTTCGAAAGAGGCTTTTTCAAAAAAGAGCATCTAGACTACAACCAGTACTTTTGAAAAAGCAGGACACTTTTTCAAAAGAGTGGACCTAGGCAGTCTGGATGCTCTCTTTTGAAAAAGCAGGCCGCTTTTTCAAAAGAGTGGACCCAGGCAGTCTGGATGCTCTTTTGAAAAAGCACAGTTTGCATTACATACTTACAAGACCACTTCGAAAAAAAGGCATTATTCCTCGTAAAATGAGGTTTTCTGCGATTGAGAAAACTGCCATGTTCTTTCTATTTACTTGCAAAAGAAAGCCACAGCAGTCTAGATGCAGGGGAAGTTTTTTGAAAAAAGGCCACTTTTTTTCGAAAAAGCACTGTAGTCTAGACACACCCTGAATGCACACAAGGTACAGGTTGGATAAATAGGAAGGTTTCAGTTTTACAGTTCACTTTGTAAAGGATTTGTATTGCTTTTTGAAGCTGGTTAAAGTTTGTAAATTATATGGGCTGTTGAGTTACTTCACAAATGTCTTTAGTAATATGCCTATGCTACCTTTGTTTCTTTTCCTCCTTGTCAGTCTCGGTATTGCTAATAATAATTGCAGTTAGACATAACATTTAAAATATATAAAAAGGCACATGAGGCATTTTTGAAGATGCAGGACACTTTAATGCAAGGGAAATGTGATGTTAAGTATTATTTAAGACAGCTCCACTACATATGAAACTAATATTTCTTAAAATGTCTGTTTTCTCAGTGACTCTAAAGGGAATTGCAGAGCAAGGTTTTCAAGAATTTAATCTACAGGCTCGAGAACTTGAAGGAGATACTCCTGTGGGTTCATTTAAAATTACAGATTCAAACACGCAAGCCCTAGCATGTTATAATTATTCGGTATGTGCTCACTTTCAAATTAGTTATTTAACTTGTTTAGTATGTAAGTTACTTCTATCAATAGTGATCAAAAGAAGCATACATTTTTCATTATGCAATATCTGTGAAATTATATCAGCATTCCAGGATTCTGACTCACAAAAGTATTCTTGTTCAGACAAATCATTAGGACGGTTCACCTGTTTGTGGTCTATCACACCTGTCAGAATGGTATAGATATACTTAATCCTGCCATGAGTGCCAAGGATTGGACTAGATGACATCTCCAGTTCCCTTTCAATTCTATGATTCTGTACTTTCCAAGCCTGTTCATTATATGATATGTCGGACTTCACAGTTACTGGAATTCAGTGACTAGAAGATATATTTGGATGCAATTCAGGACCTTTGATTTTTATGCACAGTATTGCAGAATTAATGGCAAAATCATAGTAAAATATTTGTGGCATGTGGCCCAATTCTCAGGGCCCATCCCTACTTAACCGGAGATCGACTCTCTGGAGATTGATCTCCCAGGGTTTGATTTAGTGGGTCTAGTAAGGACCCACTAAATCGACTGCTGATGGCACCCCGATCAACCCCGGTAGTCCACCAGGTCACAAGGATTAAGGGAAGTCAATGGGAGAGTTTCTCCCATTGACCTCCCACATTGGGGACTCTGCAGAAATTCAGCGTACGGTACGTTGAGTCCAGCTACTTTATTCACGTAGCTAGAGTTGCATTTCTTAGGTTGACTTTTTCCCCTAGTATAGACCTGGCCTTAGTACTGAATAAATGTTTCAGCATGGTACTAGGGGGCTTTTCTATGCTGATAGATGTGCTATCTTTTGGAGGAGGTATAGATCCAAAGTTCTGACTTCTTGAGGTGGTGAAATACCATTTGTCATGGTAATTTTTTACAAAAATCATAGAGCATTCATAGTAAGTTTAATAAAAGTTCATGAGCATAAGAGGAACTAGAGTGTAAAGTCATGGGGGCAGGGACACAGAGGGAACGTGGATTCTGGGCACAACCCCATGCACCAGGTCACCACACCACTACTCAGATTTGGCCTAGCCACTCCCACCAGCAGAGAGGAGCATCTGGGCCAAATCTGAGTGGAGCTGTGAACCCATGTGCCAGAACATAACGGCAGCAGGGATCTGGGCCCAATCCTGTGGCATAGGAGCTGCTGCTGGGGGGAGTGAGTGCTGGAAGGGCTCACTCTCCAAACCCTTCTCTTCTCCTCGCACCCTGGAATTACCCTCTTCCATGGGGTTTTTACTGAAATCATACACAGACAGAGAAATCACGGTGTCTGTGACTTTTCACACACCTTGACAAATCTGCAACCTTGCCCATGGTGTAGCAGCCAAATTCTTTTACTAATATATGCAAATACATAGAAGTTAAAAATACTTTCACTTTTTATATTTATTTTTATTACAGAATTCAGCAGTAAGCCACACAAATTCAGAGGTGAAGTACGAAGTTACAACAACTTGGATTGCGCCTTCAGACATCAAGAGTATCCAATTTAGGTATATATTGTACTCAGGGCCGGATTAAGACATGCTGAGGTCCTAAACTATGTCAAGTTTAAGAGGCCCCATAGCATTACTAAAAAAAAATGTGTATTTTCCTCACAGAAAGGACAATGAAAATAGAAGTAACAGGGTTTTATATTTGAATATATATCGATACATAGGCAAAGATGCAAGTAAAAACTTGTCATTGTTTGTATTTAGAAGCCCCTCATAATCTGAGGCCTTAATTTTATTTAGCTTGTGCATAAATCCATCACCATTTTTGCTTTGGTATTTTATTTTCATGGGACAATTCAACATGGTTTCCTTAGGTCTGCACTTTCATTCTAGTATAGTCATTCTTTACTCTCCATATATTGCCCCTGAAATAGCTTTGTCTCATTGTTTGCATAAGCTTCCCATTGTATAAATATAATAAAACCACCACTATTTTGATATAAGCTTTGTTAAAAGTAACTACTGAATATGAGGCCCGGTGCTACAAACCTCTAATTACACATAATTCCATGCAGGTCCAGAGCATTACTAGTGAACCCTGGTTCAGAAAGCAATTTTTACCCTTTAGGTCCCCATTCCTTATGTTGTGAGAAACTATATGCATGTGAGAAGTCCCATATATGAAAAAGGCTCAGACCTTAATATGACACCTATAAAAACGAATCCGTGTTAGTCTGTAATTTAAGAAACAATGAATAGTCCTGTGGCACCTTAGAAACTAACACAAATATATAGAATCATGAGCTTCCAATGAAATGGGTTTTACCCGTGAAAAGCTCATGATTCTATATATTTCTCTAATGTGCCACAGGACTGCTCGTTGTTGTTTGACTGATGAAAACATTTGCTTTTTTTTTTTAGTAAAATCATTTCTTTAATATAGAGGAAGGAAAAATAATAATTAGAGGTGGAAATCTTTCAAGACTAATTTTAAACACCGCTGCTGGTTTGGTTTTGTCTGTTTAATCCTGGCATTTTCATAAGCTCTTCTCAGCAACTTTTTTTCATGCCTTTTTTGTGAAAATGATCCTAAGGCACATACTGATTGAGTGAAGAAATCTTCTAAAGCCAAATTGATGCCATGTTTTTTGTAACTTTAATTAGTGTGGCATATTGATTAACAACAACAAAAAATAACATCTGGGATAACAATATGTATGCCAAGTGTTAGTCAAAATTAATTTGAAACAACTGAGATATTAAATTTCTAAATTCTAAAGCGTATGATAGAAAAGTCAAATCGGTAGCTTCCTTAAGTCCTTGCACATACAAAGAGGAGCAAAAAGACACACAAATGAAGTAAATCTTTTGCTGGATGGTCATCTAGTCTCTCTGGTCCCTTCAAAACCAGGCTTCAGTCATAGGTTGAAACTATGTGAATGTGAAAGTCTGCAAAGGCCTCTCCAAACCTGATGGATATGTCAGTGGATATCCACAAAGGAGTCTGTGCTTCTCCAAGAAGGCTTCATTCCTCTTCTGTACCTTCTAAAGTTCTGTTTTGTTGATCCTTAAAATGATGCTTGACATTATTATAGGAATCACAAAATACAAATGAGTCTAAGATTAATTACATAGCCATCAATTTTTTTTGCACTTTTTCTTGAAAGTTGCAGCAGAAATTCATACTGAAAATCATACATTTTCAAATAACTCTGACAAGAGTGAGTTTTATCAGTCAAAAGAAATCTTGTGACTTTATTTCAGAATATACTGAAATATAATTGGCTAGTGAATGTAAATCACACTGATCTTATTTTCCCTTCAGAGCAACAGTTGTCAAGGATTCAGAGAACTTCTGGACTGGAGTTCACAGCAAAAGTGTCACTCCTAAACTTTCTCGGTCAGCCAAAGTCACAGAAAGAAGGAATAGGAAGAAGGTATGTTTTCAGTATATCTATCCCTAAGTAGTATAAATAAATGCGGAAGTCCCCGACAATGGGCCCCATCTGAGGTGTTTCAAGTTGGGCACCCATAAACTAAGTCAGACAAAATCAGTGTTTGCTTTGGGAAAATGTGACCCTACATACTTAATCCTCACAATACCCTGAGTTAGTTAACAGTAAAATATTATTATCCTATCTGATAGCAAGGAAACTGAGATGCAAAATCTAGTCATTCTAGCCAATGAATGCCATGCAAGGAAAGGGAGAGGGGTTAAATTGTAGAGTCAGGTGATGCAAGGGGCATAAGGCACATCATAACCCCAGCTCGAAGGGATTAGGTGACTACAGTGGGGTGTTCTTAGAAATGAAAGTGTAAGTATCCAGTTAAGTTTTATTTTCAAAGCCCTCCTCATAGTAAACATTCTCCTAGTGCAGGGAGATGAGGTGAAGGAAGACTAAACCATGGGACCAGAGCTTCCACGCTGTAAATCACCATTGTCCCACTGAGCTCAATCAAGCAATGTTGGTTTGCATCAGATAATGATCTAACCAAGAGTGAACATCTTTCTCTGGTCCTTCGTCTCAACACCAAATAGAAGTTTCTTCCCAGGAAAAGGATAATACTTTTACTAGCTTCTTCTGTTTTCTTTATAGGGTTCACGGATTTTGATAGAGATGGACTGTACCAAAGTAAGACTATTTCTCTACAATTTGCCACAGTATCTTTTACTATTTACATGCATTCTGTTCATTGTATGTTTTGTGGGAGCATTTAAAAAAGGATATCACTGTGTGCATAAATATTTTTCTCATGAATGTTCAATGTGACTTTCACAGGAAATCTTAATAAGACAGATTGACTTCTAAAGTACGGGCATTAATTTGAAGCTTTAGTTATCCCAACTTTAGAATTCCCATCCTTTATACTCCTCATCCAGCAAGTTCTGGTTCATTCATTCTACTGATGCTATAGTGAGACATGGACAATACTATTTAAACCCTTTCACCAAAAGTTGACATTAGCTAGGGTTTATACTCAAATCTGAATGCATCATAATTCAATTTGTTTTTATTTTCAGAGGCTACGGCTAGACTTTGGGAAGAGATATCCTGAAAAAACTCTGCCACATCCAGGCAACACATTTGCTCTTCTGCTTTTTTTTTTGCAGAAAAGCAAACGCACTCTTTCGGAAGCTTCTGTATTCCTTGTTCCACGAGGAAGAAGGGAGCTTTCAAAAGAGGGATTTTTTCTGAAATTTGGCCCAGTCTAGATGAGCTAAATTTCAGAAAAGCCTCTTCTGACAAAAGTATCAGAAAAAGATACGCAAAATGCGCTCCACATTTTGCGTATCTTTTTCCAATAGATCCTCACAGTCTGGCCATACCCAGAGAGACACCCTAACAATTCTCATATCAGGCCATTACATAGAGGAGGGTGAGAGAATAGAAACAAACTCTTCTGGTTCTTCACTCAAATCAACCATGTAAAAAAGACTGGGTTTTTTTCCTGAAACAATATGAGCCCTTTAAGAAGAAGTAACTGAATTCTGCTTTTTCTTACAGAAAGGAGGAACTTACTCAACCAGTAGTGGATGCATCCTGGTAAATATTTCTTCTCCAGAGAGCACTAATTCACTGTTGCCTTTCACAAATAACAAGAATTGCTTACTTAGAGTTTGTCTCTTTTAGATTTGAACTGTTGCAGCAGAAGAAATAATTACTCCCCCCCCTCCCATTCATCAGAACTTTTAAGAATGTTTCTACTTGTGATAGCTTTGACAGTGTGATGTGGTGGTTGCCTCACACTGAAAAACAAGAGGTTAAAACAACCCTTGGAGAAGGCTGAGGGAGGCCCCAATCAGAAAGAGGCTGAAGGCAACCAATCAGAGCCAAGCTAGCCCTATAAAAAGGGTTGCTGGGCAGATAGCTTAGTCTCTCCTCCAGGCTTGAGGGAGACTGACTGGCTGCTTAAAAGGATATTACCATGGACAGAACAGTTCTGGGAGAGGCAAGAGAACCAGCAGGGCTCTGACCTAACTCCTGGGCCTAGGCCCTGACAAAGGGGGCCCAAAGGGATACTAGGGCTGCATAGTTGTAGCCAGTGGAGAACTAGGCAGTAGGTCCATCCCCCTTGCCAGTGATGAGAGTGGACCATTCAGACTGCAATTTGCCCCTCAAGGAACAGGCGAGACTAGAGACTGAAGTGGGTCACTAAGGTGAGTGATGGGGTTCATAGAATACTAGAACTGGAAGGGACCTCAAGAGATCATCACGTCCAGTCCCCTGTCCTCACAGCAGGACCAAGCATCTGGTATAGCATTACCAGTTCCCCAGAGGGGAGGAACCCTGGAATGGGCACTACCCGAGGGCGGAAGCGCAAGGGAAAGGACACTACAGTTTGGGAAGGATGCAAGCTCCAGCGTAGTGGAGGCAAAAGAGGTAGATAATCGTGGATGACAGGCCACCTCAGAAGAGAACACTTGTGCTGGAATGAGCTAATTCTTTGATATCCAGCAGGAAGTGCCACGAGAGCAATGGCATTACAGGTCATCACAGAAGCTCACCTACATTCTGTAGTATAGCCAATTTCTTGCTCAGTTCCATTTGATAATTTGCCTGGGAGTGAATAATCCATCAAAACTTCTAGATGTCTATTTTTAATTCCTGCTATATCCTGTAAATGTTTCTTTCTAAAGTCAGCTCACCTTAAGGCTTTCTGCTGCCAGCTTACTTTCCTTATCAGGCTTTATCATTCCACCAATATCACATATCTTACATATTCTGAAACTTTCCTTTCAGTATATTATAAACTTTGTGTGAAATTGAACAAAATATGTTGGTAATAGATCAATGAACATGTCTTTTGTTTTGCTTTTCTTGATCCCAGCAACTATAGTAAGCTCTCTGTAGTAAACTTTTGAATAGTATAGGTCGGTAGAATGAAATGACCAAAAATGTCTCCTGTTCTATTTCATTCCACAAAGTAGTTTCCCTGCCCCCCCCGAATTCGTAGATTATATAGAATTAGTCCTCTACAAAATTAATAAGTAATTTCTTATTTCTTTACAGATTCCTGGTTCCTCTCAGGTCGGTTCTGTTGTTCAGGTAATTGCCCAAACACCACTCTATTTATAATTTTGCCCCAGTGTAGCTCTTCATATAGTGGCATATTTAAATTATAGAGATAGAGATTGAGACTGCTGTTACTCAACACTGTGCTAAAACATGTCTCTGTCAGAAAGCTCAGGGATTCTAGTTACTGACTCACAAATGGATGGTTAATGTAGGTGAACTTGTTGTTACATTTAGACCTTATCCATCCATAGCCTCTCAACAAATATGGCTGTCTCTGTTTATCAACCCAGCATAAAGCTGATACTGTCAAAAAATAGTAAATAAATCTTTATTTCCTTATGTGTAGTGTTAATGCTATCTGGAATTATTAACAATGATTCTATGTATCTAATTTGCTCTTTTATCCCTTTAGTAGCTACCTATTTTTTATTCAGTTTATACAATAAAAGGAGAATTTTAAGTTTTTAGCCATTTTCATTTTCTTCTTCTCATTCGTTTAAAAATGTTACGAAATTTGCCTAACATCCTTCGCATTCACTTAATTTAATAATATTTGCAACACCATCTCCAGTGCACAACGTATGATCCCTTTAATGCAGGACTCTTAAATAGCTGTGTACTGTCATTTTGCTTTTAAACATGAACATTCAGAAGAATTTACCAGCTCAAGCTCATTTCTAGTGCTGAGCATTAGACACGAGTCTGAAACTTTAGCTGATATAATTTAGCATCGTTCCATTGATATAAATGGAACAATCACAATATAACCCCACTGAAGATCAATATGTACATTTAAGAGTGTTTATATGGAATGGGGAAGTTAACCCCACTGAAGATCAATATGTACATTTAAGTGTGTTTATATGTAATGGAGAAGTTACGCTTTCTGTAGTAAACTTTTGAATAGTATAGGTTGGTGCAATGAAATGACCAAAAAATGTTCCCTGTTCTATTTTGTTCCACTAGGTAGTTCTTTTTTCCCCCAGAAGCAGTATATTATATAGAACTAGTCTTCTACAAAATATATAAGTATTTTTTATTTGTTTACAGATTGGATCCTCTGGTTCCTCCAAGACCAGTTCTATTGGTCAGGTAATTACCCTAATGCTACTCTATTTATAATTTTGCCCCAGTGTAGCTCTTCATATAGTGGAGTATTTAAATTATAGAGATAGAGATTGAGACTGCTGTTACTCAACACTGTGCTAAAACATGTCTCTGTCAGAAAGCTCGGGGATTCCAGTTACCGACTCACAAATGGGTGGTAATTGCAGGCTAACTTGTTGCACTTAAACCTCATCCATCCATAGCCCCACAACAAATATGGCCACCTCTGCTTTATCAACCCAACATTAAGCTGATACTGTCAACAAAACAATAAATAAACCCCTGTTTCCTTATTTGTAATGTTCATAACTATCTGCCATTATAAAAATGAAATTATTCTATAAATCTCGCTTTATCAACCCAACATTAAGCTGATATTGTCAACAAAACAATAAATAAAACCCTGTTTCCTTATTTGTAATGTTAATAACTATCTGCCATTATTAAAAATGAAATTATTCTATAAATCTAATTTGCTCTTTCACTCCTTACCTAGCTACTTATTTTTTATTCAGCTTGTACAGTAAAAGGAGAATTTGCAGTTTCTCTTTTGTTTTTAGCCATTTTCACTTTCTCCTTCTCATTCATTTAAAAAAATGTTACAAAACTTGCCTAACATCCTAGAAATTCACTAAATTCAATAATATTTGCAACACCGTCTCCAGTGCACAATGCATGACCCTTTAATGCAGGACTGCTTTTGATTTCATTGTCCATTCTCTCAGCCCTTTTAAACTCTGAGGCTACGTCTACACTACAAGGTTTTTGTGCAAAAACCTTCTTGCACAAGAAGCCTGTAGTGTAGACGTAGCCTGAGTGTAGTTATATCTGTGTTATTATTAAACAATTTACTGTAAATTAGCATATATAACCAGAGGGTTTTACATGTTTTTACAAATCCTGCCCCCCTCGCGGGTTATACATGTCTGTGGGGTATACACATTTATTTTTACTCATGTGGTGTCTGGGGGCAAGTGTGGCTCCCACCACGCCCCACAGGCCAGCCAGGGTGCCTGCGCTGCACTCTCTGCTCCCCCGCTCGGAGGAGGGTGGGTTGTGCCTTGCTGCGGCTGCACAGTGCATGGGGGCGAGTGCGGCTCCTTTCCCGCAGGCCGGCCAGCATGCCTGCGCTATGCTTTCTGTTCCCCCCGCTGGCAGCTGGTATGTGCAATCTCCGTGAATTAGCGTATAGAACCCATGGGTTACACTCATCCGTGGGTTATCTAAGACTTTTTCTACACAATCAGGAAAAGCCGCGGGTTATACACAAGTGCGGGTTATATACGATAATTCACGGTACATCTTTTTAATTCAGGTTGATTTTTGTCACAATTATATTTGCACTTAATTTCCTTCCTAATAGATACAACCTTTTTAAACCCACAGGGTCAAATTCATCTTTATTTTATCTCTATTGGCTTGAACTGATAAAAACTATGGTTATATTTAGTGTATTTATTAGTGAGTTATTTTGGAACACTTTTCACTCCTACCCTATACCCAAACATTGTTGATTCCAGTTATACCCAGGTATAGTGACACTTTCTGAATCAGTATTTCTTAAGCAACACTTTTACATAGCAAATACTGCTTTCCTACATCTTCAGTTTCAAGTAATAATTATTCTATTTTCTCTTTCTTTTCACCATGTGTCTGGACAGGGGTTTGGACTGGAATGTTTTATTTATATGGATTTTTTCCTGGATTTTGCTTACGCTTAGGAACTCTTTCTGATTCCTGAAGGAGAGGTGTTAAATTACTACAGCCTTCGACAGCTCACTTTCATTAGACTTTCTCTTTTCCATACTATGTGGACCTGACCCAAAACTCACTGAAGTCAATGAGTGATTTTCCAGTGACCTCACTGGGGTTTGGATTAGGTTCCATATAACTTGTTCAGGTAAAATATCCCTGCAAGTTGTTTGGGGGGAGGAGTCATTTCTGATGATTCAGGTAAAGAGAATTCTTTTATCATTACAGGCAGTCCCCGGGTTACGTACAAGATAGGGACTGTAGGTTTGTTCTTAAGTTGAATCTGTATGTAAGTCAGAACTGGCGTCAAGATTCACCCACTGTTGAAACTGATCAGCTTCAGCAGCGGCCGAATCTGGACGCCAGTTCCGACTTACATACAGATTCAACTTAAGAACAAACCTACAGTCCCTATCTTGTACGTAACCCGGGGACTGCCTGTA